CAAGCCACTCGGAAGGAACTAAAGAACCTCCGAACAAGGAGCAAATCGCTCGAAAGAGGCCAGTGAAATTGAAAACAAGGAGCAAGCCACTCGAAACTGGAGAATTTCAGAACGAAAGACAGTAGAGAAATTGAAAACAAAGAGCAAGCCTTTCGAAAGGAACCAAAGGTTTTCTGAACAAGGAGGCAACCGCTCGAAAGAGATTAGAGAAATTGAAAACAAGGAGCAAGCCGCCCGAAAGAGACCAGATAAATTGCAAACAAGGAGCAAACCACCCGAAAGGAACTAGAGAATTTCAGAACAAGGAACAAACGGCGTGAAAGCGGCTACAGAAATTGAAAACAAGGAGCAAACCACTCGAAAAGAACTAGAAATTTTCAGAACAAGGAGCAAGCCGCTCGTAAGAGACTAGAGAAATTGAAAAGAAAGAGCAAGCCACTGGAAAGGAACTGGAGAATTTCAGAACAAGGAGCAAACCGCTCGAAACAGACTAGAGAAATTGAAAACAAGGAGCAAGCCAGTCGAGCAGAATTAAAGAATTTCAGAACAAGGAGCAAACCGCGCGAAAAAGACTAGAGAAATTGAAAAGAAGGAGCAAACCATTCCAAAGAAACTAGAGAATTTCAGAACAAGGAGCAAACCGCTTGAAAGAGACTTTAGAAATTGAAAACAAGGAGCAAGCCACTCGAAACTAGAGAATTTCAGAACAAGGAGCAAACCGCTCGAAAGAGACTACAGGAATTGAAATCAAGGAGCAAGCCACTCGAAAGGAACTGAAGAATTTCAGAACAAGGAGCAAACCGTTCGAAAGAGGCTTGGGGAAATTGAAAACAAGGAGCAAGCCAGTCGAACGAAGCAAAATGCTTCATTCAGGTGGTGGTCGTAGTGGCTGGGCTGACGGCAGACGATTTGGAGGTGAGGTCGTAGGGTTTGATTGCTTGGGGCTGTGATCACCGGGATCGCTGGAGGTCCAGGATCCCGATGTCCGGCCGGTGCAATCCGAGTTCTGCAAAGCAGGCAGGGGGCTTGGATGGGCTTGGGCTTCGACCGAAACACTCGGAGTCGCCAGGTTGCCTGGAGACGGAGGGCTGCGACCGACCCAACATCTCATGGCCACGCTCACAGGCGGACCTCATTGCCACGGCAGTGCCTGGTCGGAGTCGGCATGTTTGTCGTGCTGTTTGTCAAGGTGGGTAAAGTAAATAATATACTACTTGGGGTCGTCTTCTTCTCCCCTAACTCAGCTGATGTCATGCAAACAGGGAAGCGCCAGAATCCCATGAAAAGCGCGAGACGGTCGGGTTTCGTATCATGGTTGTCTTACAGGACTTTGGCTGCAGGTTTTTGATGCTGCAAAGGCAGGGTGGGCTTGTTTTCTTACCGTCGGTTTGTTTGGCTCTTTCTGACAAGCCCGAGAAATCAGACTCGAGTCAGAGACTTGGCTTTGAGGCAAAACCTCTGAGCGCCGAAATAACAAAACAGCTCAGATCGAGTGTGAAAGCACACGGAACTGCAGAGGAAAGGCACCGAATGATGAACAACTAGTTGGGTCCGGCTTCCGGGTCCAGGGACCCATGACCGACCTGTGGCCGCCTTGTTGGACTGCTTAGGACCGAGAGACTCTGGAGTCTCGCCCGTTCACACACCGAGGCTTCGTGAAGTGAAAGGGGGGGGGGGCTGTTGCGGTGATGGGATCTGCGAGTCTAGCCGTCGGGGGAAACCATGGTTGAGCCTTGCCTTCGTCTGTGATGACCGATAGTACCAACTGGATGGACCTGCAAGGATGCATGGGGTGCAACAAACAAGTCGAAGAAGGAAACGAGCGCAAGATTTCATAACCGCGAATGGTGGAGGTTTTGTACAACCGTTTGTTTCCGCTGCACTCTGTGCGAGAGTGCTGTCGCGTGTTTGCTTTCGTTCGACGGCACTCCACCAGCCACAGCATCAATCGCACAGGAATGTCCTTGAACAACACCGAATAGGTTGGCAGAGTCGGGACAGTCTTGAGAGCAAGTCTCGAATGCTAAAGGCAACCTGGGGTATCCCAGTCGTTCTGGTGGTGATCAGTGGCGGCCCGGTGGACTTGGCTGACTATGCCCAGATGGACGGCATCCACTCCATTTTATGGCTGGGCTGCTAGTGCCAACTGTTCATGTTCTTTTGTCTGGAGCAGGTGTTCAGTCATGCCGCACGGCACGGATGCATTTGCCTCTAGCCGCTGACCATCCGAGGCTACTCGGGCGAAGCTGCTGGCGAAGCTCTGGGCAGGCCCTCGGCAACCGTTCTTCGTCAAAGCACCTCAAATGCCAATGACGTTCATTCAGGCTTGTCTACGGACTGGCGTCTCCAAGCGGACGCCTTTCCCAGACCTTCTATCGAGCCTTAGCTGAAGTTCATCTAGGCCTAAAGGGTTGCATGGACAATTTGCCTACAGCGTGAAAGTTTGGTTCTAGATCTGAGCACAGACCGTCTTCGGCTTTCACTTTTTCTTGTTGAGCGTCGCCGAGGCAAGGAGTACACTGCCCATGTGGCCATGCAAGACTACAGCTTTCGTCCTCGGACGGAGGATGGCTATCCAGGGAGAGGCTATCGCTTCGTATCAGACAGATGGATAGTATACCCCTTCGGCCATGGCCTGTCATTTGACAGCTTCAGTTTCGACTGGTTGGCCGACCATGCTTTTGCGGGCAGGTGCCAAGTTGGCGTTCGTGTTCGGCCCTTGTACAGCGAGGCTTTAAAGACGCGTTCGAGCTCAACTTCCGTGCTGCTCTTTTTGGTACCCCCTTCGGGCAAGTCTGGACTCCTGAAGAAGCTTGTAGACTTCCAGAAGGTGGAGTTTCCCCCAGCGCAGTCTCAGGAGGATAGGTGGAAAGACCTCTACTTCGAGCTGAGCCCAAGTGACATCGAGCTCGTGGATGAAGCAGGTGCTGCTTCCGTGGCAGAGGGAACCTGGACACTGCAGGTAAACGAACCTCCAGAGCTGAGGCGCGAGATGCTGCTTCCAGGCTGTTTCGCTCCTTCCGACTCTCCCTCGTCCAAATTCCTGGCAAAGAGGGTTTTCCTGCCGTAGTGCTGTATCTTGACGACGTCAGACGGGCTGATAGCTAATTACTAGCAAGTCCAAGGGGGGCCGCGTGTGGCATTCTCTTCGCACGCCGTGCCAGATGAGCACGGCCAAGTCTTTGGACGGTTTATGATATCAAGTTTTGATCTGTGTGGCTCCATGCCACCAGTCTTTCAATTGCCCGGCAAACTCAATTATCTATCCGGGCGAGCAGGGGAAGCCAGCACTCCCAAGGAGGGGCTTCGTCACGCGAGCTCGCATAGGGTAGCATGCCATGGTAGGTTTCTTTTTTGTCGTGTTCATTCAGTTTTGTGACCCTTTGCTTCGCGATGGCCTTCCCCCGATGCACGTTCTCTGGTGCGCAGTCGGGCCTGTTCTTGGCCCCGCGCATGGGACTACAAGGAGCACTCGCATTGAGTAAAGCTCCAAGAAGCTCCCTGCATGAGTTGTTGTTTTCTCAAAGAGGCAAGGACCTTAAGCTAGTGTGTTCCTGTGGAAGAAATGCTTCAAGTTTCTGGCGAGCCGCGGCCGGCTTCCGTAACGCACCATCATGCTGATGTCTCCGAGCCTGAGGTACCCAGGCAAGGTTCCACCTGTGGAAGCGAGGGAGGCGGACATCGATGGTGCGAGCCTCAAGCTGCGACTGTGCAACTATTTGGTGAACCACAGTTCGCATTCACTGAGGCTGGACGTTCTTTGCTAGGTTCTCTGGCGCCTTGTGGGAGACTTTCATTGATGCCTCGGGCTCACTCTTTCTCCGAATTTCGTGGAAGCGGCTTCGTCTGTGTTCTTGCTGCAAGGTCGCGACTTCGCGTGGTCCTCGCGAACAGAAAGGGCTGCGAACCAAGTGTAACCCATGTGATGTGGCGATGGAGGCTCGAGACTCATGCTTCCAAGGTGGGAATACCGCAAAGGAATCGAAGGCCCTGGAAGTGTCTATTATGAGGGGCTACCGGGAGTACTTGGGTCTGTGACGGATGCACAGCCTCTCCAGACGTGAGAGTGAGAAAGCAGCAACCGGAAGTGCACAGTAGCGGAGATGCAGCAAAACCCCAAGAATGTCAAGGCATGTCCATGGGGAGCATGGCCTTTGAAATGATGACGACGCAGGGAGCCAACAGAGCGAAGCACCATGGGCAGAGGTTGGGTAAGATTCTGACAGAGGTCTCCATTGCATGTCTGAGGTCTGAAGACACGGAGGAGTTCAAGGAGTTGTCCAAGGAGTACCAGTCTGGCTATGGAGTCAAGAACCTAGAAATGCAAGACAAGCAGCATACAGTGTCGTCAGTGCATATTCTTCACTACAAGGTGCCTTTCCTCAATCTCTCCTTCCGCAAGATTACCGCTGCCACGAGAGACGTTTGCTCCCCCCAGGGTCAAGTGCTGCATGCTGTATGTTTGTCTAGCGACTGAGCCTATTTCTTTCAGGGCTGGGTGCAATCCCTTGGCCAGCAAAGAAGAGTCTTCATCCATGAAGTGCGCTTGCTGTCTGGCTCAGTTCGCATGGCCCGTTGCAAGCTTGGGGTATCTGGGGTCCTTTGCGAACTCGCATCTGTTGCCTTCGCAACCGGCGGCATGCCCAGACCAGGAGGGTACGAGAGTACGGAAATGTACGGAATGGGGGGGAATCTCGAGCTGACAGGGCTACAGTAAAGTTACAACGGTCCCGAGAGCTCCAGGTGCGAAAGTCTCAAAGGCCGGATGGACGTCTCTGCCCAGGTCAGTGCTGGAAATGTTTGCTTTTCAAGGGGCAAGTGACCAAAGACCAGACCAAAGAAACCAAGACACCTGTCCCGAGGAGTTCCATCCGGAGTTGGGGTCTTAGAAGCTCAAGTGCAACAGCATCGCTGCAGCTCATACATGCTGACACGTCGGGGAGTGTCCTCTCTCAAACTTGCCTGGTGATTGTTGTGACAGCTACTTGCCTGGCAATGGTTGCGGCAGTTAGCAGCTGTTGGGCCACAAGCAGTCAGTGCCGACCTAGCTCGTGTGCAAATCGCGACAGACCCGAATAGATCTCGGTGCTCGGATGAAGAGATCAACCCTGAATGACTATCTCAAACAAGTTCGATCGGGTCATCATGCCGTGATTCTGTTGCTGCTGCCATGGCTGGAGGTGATGACAGTCTAAAGCTCGATGCTTTGGAGCAAAGGCTTTTAACCCTAAAAGTAGACGTCGCCAACCAGCGGATACCCAAGCTTGCAGCGGACGATGAAGGAACCAAAATCCTTCTAGCGGCCGACAACTTGCAGTTGCAAGGAGATGGCCGTGGCCGAAGAAGGCGGTTGGTTCAAGAGATCAGTTTACTGCTGGATCCGCCCGAGGAAGTTTGGGCAGCTCTCGTGAGCACGACACGAGCAGAACCGTCTTTTGCTGGCAGAAGTGCGGCGGTGATTGACGATTTGCTGTCTGCAGCGGGGCATTTGCTGGCAGAGATGCACTGGTTGTGCCGACTCACTCAAGAGGCCATCGCCAACCAGGAGGCAACGGGCAACGGGTGTCTTCTGCAGCTGCTACACATGCAGGCTTCAAGGTGGCTAATTAGGTTATTCATTGAAGGACGGTGCAGCTCTTGCAGAGCTGAAATCTTGGTGGCAGGACGCTTATCTTTTCTCCGTCATCCCGCGGCTGCCAGATCTGGAGGAGGTGGGATGGTTCTCTTGATCCAGCAGGGGCCTGGTGGTCGTCGGTTTCAATCTGGGAGGCGTTTGCAGGATCGAAGCGCCCGTTGTTGGTTTGGCTAAGGGCCGCTTTGGAGCTGGATACGGTTTTCATCTCGAGTTTTCTCGTAAGCTTGCTTGTCAGATGAAATCGCGGACTCCGGTGTTCATGTCTGTGTCGCAGGTGCAACTTGTTCGCAAGCTGCGGTCATGGGCATCATCGCCCCCTCCTTCACATGCCCGAGAATGCCAAATGGTGGTGAACAGCATTGACGATCTGAGTAAAGAGGTGCAAGCCGCCCTGGAGGCGTTGAGCCAGCCAGCAGAGTCGAATTCTTTCTGTCAGAAAGCATGTGCGGTTTACTCCGACCTGCTCTCCATCGAAGCGGAAGCCCCGGGAACAGAGCTTAAGGAGTCCTACCTGCAGCTCTTGCAGCGGCTTCAAGCCGAGCGCCAGGAGGTGAAGAAAGACATCGCGTTTGTGAAGGAACGTCTGAGATCTTTGCGAGCACGGTATAGAATCCTCCGTTGCCTTGCACCCTCTCGGGAAGAGGCACAGCAGATGAACGCAAGAGAGCTCAGACTATGTCTGCACATTCACAAGGTGCCCCAGTTCAGTGGACTAATGGACAAGCAGGACATCATAGAAGCGCTCGTGAGTTCTGGGGTCATTCCGGCATAAAGCGTGTCCCTGGCGAATCCAAGTGAGTCTTTGTATGCTGCTTGTCTGGATGTTTCCAGAGCGTGGCTGTTTCACCGCTCCGGGTGCCCAAAAGTCTGATGAACAAGTCTGGGTAGAGGAGGGCATCTCACGGCCACCAAGGTCCAGCTGCCACCCGTACATGATGCAGCCCCAGGTGGCTGGAACTGAATATGAGATCCTTCCGGCTCGGGTTTAGCCGAAACCTGAAGAGAGCAGGTGATTGGCATGTTTGACATGGCGCCGGAGACCCAATGAAGTTGTGCTTGATCGCGAAACCTTGCATACCGCGACGGACGGTTTCGCATCAGCTCGCTGAGGACATTGCAGATGCTAGATGCATCCAAATGGGGAACACCTGTATTCTGGTAGCAATTAATAGCTTCCGTAAGCCTCATGGGCTTCGCGAACCAGTCGAACGCTGCTCAAACTGCCCAGGTAATGATGGCCAGTCCGATGAGTGCCGACCTCAAGCATGCTTTTTCACCAGTCGCCTGCAACTCCAAATTGCTTTGGCAATCCAGATTGCAGTTGCCCTTGCTGCAGCTTGTTTAAGCTCAAACTACATCTTGTAACGCAGATTGCAAAATTGTCACCTGGCCTCTTGGCTGCAGCATTTGTGCATTGTGATGCACACATCTATATGAAGCGTTGCCTCTTTCTTCCTACCTACTTGCCTCTACCTCCCTACTTCACTCCCTACCTCTCCCTCCTCCCTCCCTGCTTGCCTGCCTGCCTGCCTACCTACCTACTTACCTACCTACCTGCCGACCTACGTTACATTTTGCTACATGCATACACACATTGACACGTCACTCTCCTTCTCCCTCTCGCTCTCCCTCTCCCTCTCCCTCTCCCTACAGATTATATGGTACCTGTGTATACATACATGGATATCGTGGGTTGACTTATCCTGTAGTCTTGGATTCAGCACAGCGTACAGTCAGCATGGCTTGTGTTGCGATGTGGCGATGCGTCTTAAGCTCTGGAATGGACGGTCCGATGCAGGCGCCGAGGGCCGCTTAATGGGTTCAGCAAAGCACGAAAGCAACACGTTCTTGAAAAACGGCCCTCTGCATGAACGAGAGGGATCAGGCACTTGCCTGGCTATCAAACATGCGCCGCCTGCGACGACCAGAAGCTGAAGCATGGATACCCGTAGCTGTTGACTCAGGTGATGTTATCTTACGGCCGCGCTCTACTGGGCTTTTTGCTTCTATTGATTGTGCAGCACGGCGGCACTGGGCAGCGTTTACCATGGAGCCGGACTCTCTGGTAGATTGCCAACACCCAGGTGCTGTGCACAAGCTGCTACAACCTTGCAGCTGGCAGGCCCGTCTTGGTTGTAGTTCTGAGTTAGATTCTGGGATAGATGTCCCAACGGCCCTCGGAACAATAGGATCGTTTTTGACTGGATTTAGTCTTATGGTTTCCGCCTTTTTACTGGCACGCCTGTTCTCATGCTGCGAGTTTCTGTTTTTAAGCCTCGCCTTTGTCGGCTCGACGGGTTGAGCGGAGGGGACTGAGACAGATGGATTCGGACGTCGAAGTTTCATGCTCGTTTGGCGAGATGTTTCTGAGTTTCGGAAATTTCAGACAACAACGCCGAGTCGCAGGTGTGCAGAAAGAACATTCGGGGTTCCTGAGCTGTCAAAACCGCAGAGCGGCAAGACGCTTACCTTGTTACGCAGCTTCGTCTACAAAGGCGGTAGATTGCTATGCTTCCTGCTTGTGACAGTTGTTGTATGTTCAGCATAGTCTGTTCGTATGTACCACAAACAGTAGCGGTGGTAGCAGCATTACTCCTGTTATTATGATTAGTAGTACTAGCACAAGCAGCAGCAGCAGTTGTAATTATTATTATTCAGGATTATTATTATTATTAGTAGTGGCAGTAGCAGTAGCAGTAGCAGTAGCAGAAGCAGTAGCAGTAGCAGTAGCAGTAGCAGTAGTAGTAGTAGTAGTAGTAGTAGTAGTAGTAGGTAGTTACTAGTTAG